ACTATTCAGGATGCTGAGGCAAGAAAATTGCCTGAGCCTAGGAGTTTGAGATCAACGTTGGCTAAATAGCAAGATAAGGTCTCGGAAAAAAATAAGCATATAAATCAAATGTCTTCAGAGGTATTTGAATTCAAATGGACATAAACATCCTAGTGTTTAGGCTTAGGCTGTTGGCGCCATCTTCTGTCGATAGTTGGGATTGCAACGTCTTCACCCATAGTTGTTTTTGAGATAGGATTTCTCTGTGTAGCCCTGGTTGTCCTAGAATTCACTCTGTATGTTGCCCTGGCTGGCCTGCGTCAGCTTCCCTAGTGTTTGGATTAAAAGTGTGCACCACCACCACCAAGCTTGTAATTTTACTATTAAAATGTCTATCTATCTATCTATCTACCTACCTACCTACCTACCTACCTATCTGAGACTAGGTCTCTCTACACAGCCCTGCCTGTCCTGGAACTCACTATGCAGACCAGGCTGGCCTCAGAGACGAGATCTTTCTGTCTCTACCTCCTGAGTGCCAGAATTAAAGGCATATGCCACCATGTTCAGTGTAAGATTTTTTTTTTAAATTAAATTTATCTGTGCAGGGGCTGGAGAGATGGCTCAGTGGTTAAGAGTACTGGCTGCTCTTCCAGAGGTCCTGAGTTCAATTCCCAGCAACCGCATAGTGGCTCACAGCCATCTGTAATGAGATCTGGGGCCCTCTTCCGGCGTGTGGGCATACATGGAGGCAGAATGTTGTATACATAATAAATAAATCTTAAAAAAAATTATCTGTACAGATCAGGAATGAAAAGTGCCATACACAGCACAGTCCATTTATATCTTTCCATCTCTTTATGCACAGCTCTGGTGTGAATGAGAATGGATCTCACATTCTCGTACGTTTGGATACTTGATCCCCACTTGGTGGAACTGTTTGGGAAGGATTAGGAGGTGTGGCCTTGTTGGGGGTGATGTGTCACCAGGAACAGACTTTGGAGTTTCAAAAACCTAGGCCTTCCCAGTTAGCTCTCTGCCTCCTGCTTGAGGATCAAGACGTATGAATGCCTTTCTGTTTCTTTCACCCTGCCTTTGCTCTGCCATCACAGACTGCAAGACTCTGAAACCCTAAGTCCAAGTCAATGCTTTCTTCTCTAAGGTGCTTTGCTCATGAGGTTTTGTCCCAATCATAGAAGAGTAACTAATGGGCCAGGCACAGTGGCACATGCTTTAAATCTCCATACCAGGGAGGCAGAGGCACGAGTTTGAGACCAGCCTGGTCTACACATCAGGTTCCAGGACAGCCAGGTCTACATGATGAGATCCTGTCTTGAAAAACAAAACAAAGAAAGAAGGAAAAAAAGAAAGCATAATTAACAATTTATTTTTTTTCTTGAAAGTTAAGCACAAACCTGATTGCTCCATTATGCTTCCTACAGATTTTACAGACTAGGTCTTCCTGGGGCAATTTTGTTTTAAAATGCTGAATTAGACCAAGTCAAACAAAGAGAACTATGTTTCTATAGCAGACAGAACCTGGTGTTTCCCTGGTTTTGAATTAGAACCTTTCGATGACGACTCCATATCTGGCTAAGAAACAAGGCTGAGGACTTCCTCAATGACCCACTGCCGTCTGACCACCCCTCTTTCCTCTCCAACACTGACGTCAGCCTTGGCCTCTAACAGAAGGCAAAGCCTTTTCTTCCCCCAGGCCCGGGTGTTTACTGCTGCTTCCTACAGAAGCCTTTAGGCGTGTGACCCTGCAGCTGCCCTGCATTCTTATCCTGTCCAGGAGATGGCCCTCACCAGAGGCAAACCCTACAGGCCACTCTAACTGGCTTTTCACCTCTGAAACTGTGGGAACATTTCAAGGTTTTATTTACATGTTTATTTAAGCTTTTCCAGACAAGGGTTTCTCTGTGTGACAGTCCTGGTTGCCCTGGAACTGACCAGGCTGGCCTTGAACTCACTGAGATCTGCCTGCCTCTGCCTCCCGAGTGCTGGGGTTAAGGTTGTGTGCCACTACACCCAGCTTCAAGATTTGTTTTTATGTGTGTGTGTGTGTGTGTGTGTCTGCAAGAGCGCACACCGCCTGTGTGAATGCCCACAGAAGTCAGCAGGTAGTGTTGGAGCCCCTAGAATTACAGGTGAACCAGCTGCTGTGGGTGCTGGGAACAGACCTCAGGTCCTTTGGGAAAGCAGCAAGTTTCCTATCCACAGATCTATCTACCTAGCTCCTAAAATAATGAGTTATAAACCTCATTTCCTTTTGTATCACCCAATCTCAGGTATTTTGTTCTAATACCAGGAAATAGACTAAAAGATTGTCCTTGAGAAGATCAGTCTTCACCGCTCAAGGGCCAACACCATCTCCTGGCAATCTCCTTGAACCCTCATCACACATTTGCAAGAGATATCCTTAGCAAATTCTCCTCAAATGACACTATTACTCTCTTGCCATGACACTGATTCATGTAAACCAGAGTTCCCTCTTAAGATATATATTTTTTATTTTTTGTTTTTTCGAGACAGGGTTTCTCTGTGTAATAGTCCTGGCTGTCCTGGAACTCACTCTGTAGACCAGGCTGGCCTTGAACTCACAGAGACCCACCTGCCTCTCCCTCCTGTATTACCTAAGTGCTGGGATTAAATGTGTGCACCACCACCATCACCACCACCACCCAGAAAGATAATGCTTTTAGGGAACTGGCAGAGAATGTGTGGACGGCAAGCACCTTGCATTAAGAATGTTGTCTGGAATGCTGTCCCCAGCACCACACAGAATCCAGAGAACAATTGCTACCACATTCTCCACCTGCTTCTAGACTTGAATTAGGTGTTCTCTGTACCAGATGAGTCCTTAGCAACAGGGGTATCTAAGGAAAGGAAGGAGAGTGAGAATAAAAAGGCATTCATGTAAAGAAACTGATTTTACTGTTTTAGAAGAAAATTGATTCAGACACACATCACACTGGACAAGTGGAAACAAATTTTCTAAATTCCAAACCTAAGAACCATGGCCGATGATTTTTTTTTTTTTTAACAATTTGTTCCTGTACCTCAGTGGAACAATGCATTAGAATTGAGGCAAAGGAGATGAGTGATTCTTGAACTCCTCTCAAAAGATCTAAAACTCTAATAGGAAGTGTTGTTCTATTGATGTGGGAGTCTCCTCTGTGTGCTGTGATTAGCATTAATGAATAAAGACACTGCCTTGGCTTGTTGATAGGACAGAACTTAGGTAGGTGGGGAAGACGGAACTGAGTGCTGGGAGGAAGAAAGGCGGAGTCAGGGAGACTCCATGGATCCTCAGCTGGAGGTAGATGTGCCAAATTTTTGCTGGTAAGCCACTGCCACATGGTGGTATGCAGATTAATAGAAATGGGTTAAATTAAGATGTAAGAGTTAGCCAATAAGAAGCTAGAGCTAGTGGGCCAAGCAGTGATTTAATTAATACAGTTTCTGTGTGATTATTTTGGTTCTGGGCAGCCGGGACGAATTAACGGTTCCTTTCAACATTCGATCTCTTGATTTCTAGTGGGTTCTAGGTGCTACCCAAGGCAGTCTCGCTTACATGGGAGAAGGGTGTCCGACCACTCCCTACATTAGATTTGAGGAGGGCTGATGGAGTCTTTCAGGATTTTTTCCAGGATGGTCTTGGTGTCCTGGGCAACTAACAGAAGTACACGTTTGTATTTCATGCGTCTGAAACAGCGGACACAGCAACATAAGCACAGGAGACATTTAAGAACGCGGAAGAATCCATTCACAAACGCACAAGTCATCAGTCTCAGTCTCCAGTCCCCTCTGCGGAGGGTGTACAGAGTTTGGGACTTCATGTCGGCCTTGTACTCTTGGACTACTGTCCCCATACTCTGGGCTACCTGCTCAAGCGATTCATCGTCAACACCAAATTTGAGTCGGTATGCTTTCAGACACTCTCTCATATCTTCATCATCCCTGACACTAAGAGGATGCTCTGAACATCCCTCATCTATTCTCTCTCTCAAGAAGGCCACTCTAGCATCAATGATCTTCTTAAAGGTGCTAGACAGAGTGCTTAAGGGCCCATAGCATCTGATGTTGGAGAGGTCTTTATGCAGTGTGTCCCTAAGCATTGGGAAGTCATATAGTAAAGGGTCTAGATTGGATACCAGGAATATGGGTGGTACATTCACTCTCTCCTTCTGGAGTTCCTTCTGAATATTCACCCGGATATTCTGTATGAGCTGGGTCTCTGAATGGGCATGTGGCCTGAGGTCCCTGTCCAACTTGGTCCAGACAATATAGAATCTCTTTCCCATCTCCTGGATGACTTTGGCAAGATTTACATGGTTTGAGCTGAACTGCTCAGAGGCAATGATGATGAATATATCATACATGCTGAATTCCATCTCTTCCCTATAGTTATCTATGGTTTGGGCTGTGGCCCCCAAGCCAGGCAGGTCCCACAGTATCACACTGGGAAAGTGGGATGAGGAGTACTTAGCCCGTGTCTGGGTGGTCCTCACCACCCCAGTGGGAGCTGAGTCATCTTCCTCATGGCCAATGATTCGGAGTGCATTGATGAAAGAAGACATGCCATTGCCCGAGTTCCCAGTCACCATGATGTGCACTGGCATTTGGGACAATGTTTCCACGGTCTGCTTGATCCCATGGGCCACGTCCAGCAGTTTCCCTTCTTTCAAGGCCCTTTCAAGGGTCCTATTGAGTTCATGTAAAATGCTGTCCCCTGCCTGATACGACCTGACAAAGGACGACTTCAGTGGAGCATAAGGAGTCTCTGCCATGTTGGGGAGTAGTGGCTCAACCTGGAGAAGTAGAAGAGTTGTGGAGTTAGATATTGGGGTGTCGGAATCAACGGACTTCATATCACAGCCTCGGGGTTTCAGAGCCACAACCAGAGAAGTAGCAAAGACATTTCATTTACATTCGTAGGGGTGCAATCTCCCGAGGGTGTGCAGGAGGATGGTTGGGTAGCTGCTGTGTCAAGGGCAGGATGGGAGAGGTTAGTCAGATCAGCCAGCGGGAACACAGGTCAGTCTAAATAAACAAGGCAGAACAGGCAACAGAAAGAGCTTGGGCCAGCTCTCCTCACTGAGCCGTGTGCTGGCGAGGACCCGCAAACCCTCTGTATAATTTCATTATTCCTTTCTAAAAAGCACCCTCTGCCTTTTTCTTTTTTCAAATGATATTTTTATTGGGGGATCAAATTTTTCTAGTAAATGCTCATGTCCCATCGACTTCAACGGATGAATCGAAACAATTTCTAATAGCCTGCCACTGATGTTTTGGTCAGTATTTACGTTTGTACGTTTCTGTACATGACTGCGGGTAGTGTTATTATTATTGGAGGTACTCAGGTGGATGTGTGAAAGCAGATTTTTCTTTTTTTTATTTTTTAAATTTATTTATTTATTAAGGATTTCTGCCTCGTCCCCACAACCGCTTCCCATTTCCCTCCCCCTCCCCCGATCAAGTCCCCCCCCCCCCCATCTGCTCGAAGAGCAGCAGATTTTTCTTGTTGGCTGATCCTTTGCAATGAAATTGAAGCATTCAGTGGCACTGGTTCAGGACTGAGAAAAGAACCAGTTGGGTTCACCAAGTGGATTCTACACAAGCTTACAGCACACAAGCTGCCCCTTACTGATAGACAGATAGACTATGCCATCCCTTCTTAAAGTTCAACCTTCTCCGGGACACGCTTTTAATCTCAGCATTCGGGAGGCAGAGGCAGGTGGATCTTTGTGAGTTCAAAGCCAGCCTGGTCTACAGGACAAGTTCCAGAACAGTCAGGACTCTTTCACAGAGAAACCCTGTCTCAAAAAACCAAAGGAAAAAAAAAAGTTCAACTTTCCTCTTGCGCAGGATTATAAATAAAAAAATTCCACCACTCAGGGCTAGTTAGATGGCTTAGTAGCTAAGGGCACTTGCTGCTTAATCTGATGATCTGAGAACAATCCCAGGAACCCACATGATGGAGAGAGAACTGACTCCTGAAAATTGTCCTGCAACCATCCCCACATGCATGCCTGAGCATATGTACACACACACACACACACACACACACACACACACACACACACACTGTAATAAGTTAAAACAATTCTAAAATCCAAGGCCTTCTTTTTTAGAAACAGAGCCTTTCTGTTGCATTAGGAGCACCCAATGGGACGTCTGGAGACCCGTTTTGTCCTTATTGAGGGGGGAGGTTTCCCTATAAGACCCGACTATGTATCAGTAGGGCACATTCATGACTATGATAGATCGCACAGTGCAGTTTCTCACCTTCCATCATCTCCTTGGCCTTGGGCACCGCCTTCACTTATACCTCTCCTAGGATAGCATCTGAATATAATCCACCTCTGTTCCCCATAGCTTTGGGACTTGGATTCATCCTCTACAGAAGGAATTGGGCCAAGTGACCCTTCTGTGTTTGAGGTGCTCAGCTCCTTGTAACATGGACACACTCCTGAAACTCCAGTTTCTGCCCCGAGCGCCAGAAAAGAATGCTACCCACCTCCCAGGGTTTTTGTGATGGTTTCATGACAAGCTCCGTGTGGTGCTCTCTGCACACCTCTCGGTCTCTTGGTGAGGCTCTCTGGTTTTACTAGGGTCTCCGAGGAAGCCGTTCCTCGGGTTCTTCCTCCACTCTTCGACTTTAACCACACAGCAAGAAGGTCCTTTGTCTGTGAGTCTGTGTTGGGTCCTTCGAATGCCTTATCTCACTTAATAGTCCTCAAACCCTATTAGATAAGTGGTATTCATTATTGTTGATTGTGGGTGAAGAATCAGAGACTTATGAATAAATTGTCTTTTTTGAGACGGGGTCTTGCCAGTCAAATTTTATGATCCTCCTGTCTCAGTCTCTCTAGTGTTGAGATTACAGGAGAATATCACCAAGCCTAAGAATCAGTCTTGAATTACACACAGAGTAAAAGGAATCCACAGGTTGACCCTGGCAAGTGACACCACGTTTCTGTAGGCATAGTGAGGACAAATCCTACCCTAATAGAGGATTTGATGCATGCTGAGGGGTTTCCCTTGGGAACTCCAGTCTACTCACTGCTACCAATTGTCATTTACACCTTATATGGGCACACATTTTATAAGTTTGGAAACCAATGTGTCTGTCCTCTTTGATGTTTACTCTAAAGCTGAATGGCAGTGGTAAAGGGAATTCCCCCAGTGTCTCCAATGACTCAGAGCTTGCTGAGGGGGGGAAGGTGTTACACTCAGCGAGAGACCAAGAAGCTTCATCAAATGATGCTAGAGGTGCCCAGAGTGCAGTGGGAGGGAGGCTATGGGGAAGGTTGCTGGCACATATCCCTCCTGCACAGAGGCTGCAAGCCCTTCAAGCCAGTGACAACGGAGACTACCCAGAGTCTTCCTGCAGCAGACTCCTCCAGCAGAGTGCTCCTGCAGCAGTGCCTCTGACAGACCTGAGGTGATGTGGCTCAGCCAGGGTGCTGCTTCCTGCTTCAGAGTGTCAAGGTGTCCGGAGCTGGATATAGAGGCACCATGATGGGCTGGTATACTCTGAGGCAAAGTTGGCTAGAAGCCAGGGGAATGAAGCCTGACAAAATCCAGGAGCAGAGAACATTCTGCAGTGGTGTGTGGAGACGGGGGAACAGAGGAAAGCTGTGTGACATTTAGTAAGGTCTTGTCCTCAAGGCAACTCTTCCCTCCTTGGCTGTTGTGGCCAAGGTCTAGTTCTGTGTCTGCTTTGCTTTACTGTGAGTTTTACTCGCCAGGGTAGAAGATGAGCGTAGATCACGCTCTTCTCAGGGCTGTTTATGTGACTGTGACCGGAGATGGGGACTTCCTGCACCTGCACACCCTGTACCGGACCCTGTGGGAGACGGCGCAGGTCACGGCTGCACACAGGATCCAGTAATTCTCAAGAGGGTTGGATCCTGCCTCACTCCATGTATTATAAGCAGACTTGAAAAGGCATGGGTAGCTGTATAAAGCTACAAGTTTCTTTTCTTTTCTTTTTTCTTTTTCTTTTTTTTGGTTTTTTCGAGATAGGGTTTCCCTGTGGTTTCGGAGCCTGTCCTGGAACTAGCTCTTGTAGACCAGGCTGGCCTCGAACTCACAGAGATCCGCCTGCCTCTGCCTCCCAAGTGCTGGGATTAAAAGCGTGCGCCACCACCGCCCGGCTAAGCTACAAGTTTCTTTGGGGAGCCACTTGGGAGAGTGCTGTCGCGGGTAGCTGTGGGGTACCATAGTTCATAACACTGACCCAGTATTTGCAAAGAGCCCATAGAATTCTTTTTGGGATTCATGTGTCCTCCCACTTCCTCTTTTTGAGACTCTTTCCTAGCTTACACCCCTATTTCACCTTCTCTGTACAAGGTTGAAGATGCCCACAGAAGATTGTAGATCCCTGTGACTTCTGGAGGGAGCTTAATAAATAGTTCCAACCAGAGAGGGGAGCTGTGCCTGGGCAGGAGAAGCAGACCCTGTGAGCAGTGTCTTTGGGGTCTCCCACAGACACAGAACTAAGAGCACGCTCACACACGTGTACACAGATGCATGCTCATAAAGGTGGTAGTTGCCACACGGTTCACTCTGGCACTGTTTCCTTCCACCTTAGTTCATTGAACTGAATTTTACTATTTTCTACTCCAATTAATTAACTTGAAAACATGCTTATTATAGCATACTCCATAAATTTCGTGGCTTACCTGATGCAAAATGAAGCCAAACTACAAGTGGGGTTTTTTTTTTTTCTGTGTAGGGCTCTGTGTAGTTCGCGTATCACAGCTGTTATAAATTTCCACGAGAGACTCATGGAGATGTGGGGACCAGAACACACTAGTAACAAAGCTAAAATCAAGGATTCTGGTGAACTGATAGCCCTGTGTGTGCTGAAATCCTCATCTATTCCTTATTCAATCACCATTAGGGAAGACCGAGAGAAAAGTCAAGAAGTTTATTTATCTCTGAGAGTGTGATATACTTCCTCAAGGTGAATGGGGACAGTACTGAGCCTGGCATGCTCTGGGAAGATGGTGTTTGAAAAGTTAGTTAATTTATACATGGATGAGCCACTACAATGCATATAAAACATTTGGATGGAGTCAGGCAAAGAGGTCACTAAGCTACCTTATATTCAAAACCCACCCTGAGGTCCAGACAAAGAGCAAACCCTTCTTTTTATATTTTTCATGTATCTTAGGTATTGCCTGTGGTCCATTCTGATCGTGGGAATTTATTCTTGTGGAGAGACGAAGAGGTACCATATTAGACTCTAAGAGAATATGGGTTGGCACACTCAGCCCTCCTTCTTCAAATTTAGCCACCGTTTGAAGACCCACAGGCCAGGAATATGCAGGTGAGCTAGATAGACCTTTGCCTCCATGCTGGTTTGATCAGCAGAGATATGTAGTACTACCTGGTACTAAAGACAGTCAGAGAGAGGGTCCTGCTGTGCTGAGCAGAAATAGGCCAGACCTCAAGGTCCCGGTGGCCTGGTGTCACAGTTCTGCTACTCTCTCTCTCTCTTTCTTTTTTAAAGTGCTTTATTTTTTATTTAAATGCAAAAGTTTTGTTTTTCATTTTTCATACCATCACAGTAACCCCTCCCTCCCTTCTTCCCACTGTTCCCTCTCCTCCCCTCCCTAACTCCCATCCACTCCTGAGAGAGGGTAAAGCCTCCCATGGGAGTCAACAACACAATCACAGTTCTCCTTGTCATAGCATAAGGATGGAAGTTGCAGGAGATTGGGGCGACCAAGCTGAACTTAGAGGCTTTTACTTACAGGCTCCAGAGGAGGGATTGTGTGGGATCCAGATGTTAGGGCCTCCCTGGAGTGCTACTCCTTAAAAAAACGTTTGTCCTCCAGCAGAAGTTCTCTGAAATCCAGACCCGGGATATTCAGAGATGAGATGCAGAGGTCTGGAGTCCTTCCAAGAGACCAGCTAGGAAGAGTAGGAGCTGGCTGACCACGTGGATTGTCTTTCTACCTCTGGTCTCTATGCAGACCTTGCTTTTTGCCCTGCATTTGCTAGATATGAGTGTTGATGCCAAGATGGGACAGGGAGGGGATTCCAGTGAGAGTAGGTTTCGGTTTCAGATTCCTGGAAACAGCTGGTTTAAAGGATAAGGCGGGGCAAGCTACGTAGTATTTTTCAGAGAGGGGGCTGTGCTTGTCTGAGTTCAATAAATGTGGGAATGTGGGTGGGGATAGGAGAGGGGGATGGTTTGCCAAATCTGCTTAGGGAACTTAGCAGCTAGTTCAGGGTCAGAGCATCCTATGCCTGGCTCTGCTACTTCTTTACATGGGCACTAACTGGGCAATGTTAACCTTCAGACTTAGAAACACTGACTCCTCAGGTGATTGGAGACACGGGCGGCCACCTTGTTCTGTGTGATTGTTTTCCCTGTTTGCCGGCTCACTTGATTATCCCCAGGGAGTGGGGCATCCGGCTCTGGTCCGTGCAGTGTTTGAGTGGGAAGAGGATCTGAGCTGGGAGGGGCCAAATTTCATTTTCCTACAATTCAAGAGTTAGTTTAGTAGAGTTGCACACCTGAGCAAAAGCAGGCATTGGAGACTTTGACCCTGGCCTAGAAACACTGACCCCCATGTGATGTTGTCATGAAGAAAAACAGACATGTTTTCTGGCAATGGGCAACAGACCCAGTGACAAAGGGAGGAGGTGAGAGGAGCCACGTTGCTTTCAGAGGGTAAGAGCAGCTCTGTCATCCCCTTTGCTGCTTTTCTGTACCCACTGGCAAGTTCTTGCCGCACAGCTGAGTAAAGAGGAGCAGGGGTGTGTATGCAAGCAGAACTGAGCCTGCTTCATACTCACTGTGGAGGGAGACAGGCTGGGTGGGGAGGAATGAGGAGGCTCACACAGGCCCTTTCCAGGGCCCTGAACACAACTTCTGCCCACTGGCAGGCTCACTATTGCCCAGGGGTTTGCGCAATTGCAATTCAATCCCTTGGTCACAAAGAGCCCTCTCGGTCACCCCTCCAGGTGACCGGTAATGTGATCCTGTATTGGCGATGGTAGCTTTCTCTTTCTCCTTCCCGGAAAAGACTGAGTTGCTGAGAAAGAGACTTAGTGTGGGTGCCTTTCACATTCCTGCTGCTGTTTAACGAACTGGAGGTTTTGAGTGAAAGCCAGAAGCTGTCCCTGCTGTTTGCTTCTCTCTAAGTCCTATGCCTCTAGGCAGAGCCTGGGGAGAGACCACGCAAGTCTCTGGCTGATTTCCACCTCTTTAGAGACTGGTGGGGGCTGCCGGTCTGTCCTGCTTTCTTTATGTGAATTCACAAGAATAAATAGGAGCAGGTCTCAGGGTAGGACAGGAAGATCAGGAAGAGAGCGTCTGGAACCTTCTCTACAAATGAGCCAGAACTCCAACCCAGGCAGTGTTTCCCTGGACCCCAGAGTCAATCCTCTCATGCTCTTGCTCTTGGGGAAGAACTAAGGCTGGGCACAGCAGGGTTCGTTACGATTGGGCATCAGGGAAAGGTTCCTCAAAGTAGGATGCTGTAATGGCTGGACGCAGTGTGTGGACACAGAGGGTAATCAGAGCACAGGCAGCCTGTCCTTGAAAATGCCATTTGCAGAGGACCTTTGGGTGGGATGGTCTGGAGTTAGACCTCCCTGACGAGGCAAGGCTGAGGGTTAACCTCAGGTGGTCACCTGGTTAGAAGCTGTGTGTGAACTGGGCCACGGGGACACATGCAGAATCTAATCAGTTGAGAGACAGAGGTAAGGAGAGTTTGAGTTGCAGACCAACTTGTGTTATAGTAGCAAGTTCCAGAGCAGCTTCAGCTTCATAGAGAGACTTTCGAAAGAATTTAGAAAAAAAATCACATAAACAAAAAAAAAAAAAAAGGAAGGTGTATATTTCAGTCACCTTGCTATGCAAGGAATGTAGGAGTTCAATGATTCTGTCACCATCTTCTTCACTTTGTGTGCGTGTCCTTCTGGGTGGAAGATTTATTAGGAGAAGTCTTAGCATGGTGGAGGCTATAGGAGAGCTCAGGCCCACAAGGCAGATCAGAGGGCTCCTTTGAAGAGGTTCAGGAGAAGAAGGAGGTTCCATGCCACACGATGGTTGAACGACTGTGCATGCCCTTGTCGGGCTCTCTGATTCCTGGAAAGCTGCAATGTAAGGGGTGCCTTATATTTTGGGGAAGGAATGAGTGACTTTGAGTATGTGTAGGAAGTGGAGGAAGGACCTCATTTAGCTACTGGGTACCCCTCATATGAGATATGCTGCTGATAGCCCTGATACCTTGAAGTCTGGTAGGCTGGGCTTCCCTGTACACAGTATGAGGGTGGAGGGAGACAGATAGGTCTGACCTGAGAAAGTCTGGTTTGGATTCTAAGTGGTGTGTGTGTGGTGTGGTGTGGTCTGTCTGTCTGTCTGGCTGGCTGGGAGGAGCTGAGGCAGCACTTCTCTGTGTAACCCTGATTGTCCTGGAACTCGCTCTGTAGACGAGGCTGGCCTCAAACTCAGTGATCTGCCTGCCTCTACCTCCTCGAGTGCTGGGATTAAAGGCGTGCACCACCACCTCCCGGAAAGATTTCTTTTTAACGATTAATTTGTTTTATGTATATGAATGTTTTGATGGTATGTGTATGCACACTGTGTGAGCCTGGTGCCTACAAAGGCCAGAAGAGAGGGCCCGATCCCCTGGAACCAGAGTTAAGGGCACTTGTGAGCCACCATATGGGTGCTGGAAACTAAACCTGGGGTCTTTTGCAAGAATAGAAGAGTGCTCTTTTGGAGAAACGCTTTGAGATAGAATCTCACTGTGGTCCTCTTTGGCCTGGAACTCTCAGTCAGTAGACCACGCTGGCCTTGAATCCCCAAAGCTCCACCTGTATCTGCCTCCTGAGTGCTGGAACTGAAGGCATGAGCTACCATGACAAACACAGACCCTTAACATCTGAGTTACTCAAGCTCCAGCTTCAATAGGCGTTCACTCTGATTAATCATTAATGCATTAATGAAAGGGAGGGTCAAGGACTATAAAATACACAGCACAGGCGTTTCTCTGACACTCAAGTGGCTGTGGGAACTGCCTCTCTCTGGCACTTTTCCCCTTTCGTTCAACAGTGACATCCTGGTACTGTTCCTTCATCCCCACACCAGGTTACTCCTCACAGAAAGATTCATGCTGACTCACCCTGGATGAGCAGGGTTTTGTACATGGCTGGGTGACCTGTCAATCACAATCTCACACCTATCACACATGGAGGCATGCCCATGTACAAACAGACATGCACAAATCCATATGCACACGAACACACACACACACACACACACACACACACACACACACCGGGCAACCACAGAGCCTTGTACCCACTTTTGTTACAGGCTACTTAGTTCTCCTCTAATTTGCACTGTGACTAAAGAAAGGGCTCTAGTATTTCTGTCAGGGGTGGTAAAGGTGCCTTAGCTCCAAGATCAGCAAATTTAGTTTCTCATGGACCTTGTTATTATTACTATTATTATTTTATCATTATTATTTTGTTTTTAGAGACAGGATTTCTCTATGTAGCCCCAGCTGTCCTGGAACTCACTTTATAGACCAGGCTGGCCTCAAATTCAGAGATCCACCTGCATCACCTCCCGAGTGCTAGGATTAAAGGTGTGTGCCCCACAGCCTGGCAGTCCAGCGCCCTCACAGAAGACTTGTCTACAGCCGCATGGAGGGGGCTCTGAGAGCAAGGGCTTTCCTGGTCTCCCGCTCTCACTGAGCTGGGGACCCATGCTACTCTTTCTCTCCCTCCGTCCCTCCCTCCCTCCCTCCCTCCCACAAAGCACCCAAGGATGTAATCAATCTATCACACGCTGTCCTGATTAGCGCTCCAGTTACCGTGAAGTCACCCCTCAGTTCTTCAGCATACAGAACTGCACTTTGACTCCCACATGGAAAGCAAGGCGTTTACAGTTGGGGATCAGAAAGGAGGTTACCTCGTCTGCAGTTGCCCCTCTTGGCCGTGGCTTCATACTGGATACTGGACTCAGCGGGCTCAGGAGGTGTGTGCTGAGGAATCTGTGAAGTGTCTTAGCGCCCTGACCACACGTTGGAGGAGGTGGTTGCTCTCAGCTCTTCCTGGTGTAATTCAGGTGAGATGGAGCAATCTTTCTTTAGTCTTCTTGTCAAACTCTCGTTCATTTGCCTTTGCTCCCTCAGCGTTTATCATTCACCTCACGTCGTCTGTCTCCGCAGATCATCTTGAATTTCCAAAGTAATTGTCTTTGCATTCTCTGAAGGGACAGAAAGTGGGATTATTTTCTCATGTAATATTTTGGTTTCCTAATGATGAACTCATTTTTGCCCTGGCTCACATATTTCACGTAAAACGTTTCTCTCTTAGGGCTAACCAGTCTTCTCTGAGGACGAGACTCCTGAAGGATCGTCTAGCCTCAAATGATCAGTTCTAAACACTTATACGTACAACACTAAATGGACTCGGCATTTTGTGTGTGTGTTTGGGTGTGGTGTATGCATGTATGTGCATAGCAATAAATAAAGAAAAAGAGGCCATGAGTTTTAGAAGTGAAGGAGTTGGGGGAAAGGGAGGTATGAAAGTGATGTAAACAGAATATTCATTTATGGAAGTCTTGAAAAATGTTAAATTAAAAAAGGACAAAGCACACAAGAAAAAGTTGTCTTTCCCTAAGTAGCCTCTAGGTGTCACTGTGGTCCAGTTTTCGTTCCCTCTGTCAGCAAGGTTTACCCATTTGAGAACTATGGGCAGGGATGGTGATAAGGGGTGATGGTCAGGAGGCCACAGACCCAATCATGTGACATTTCTGGAGCGATCTGAACAGTCACCCCCCTCCTCCCCCCAGGTAGAGTAAAGCCATTTCCTCCAAGCCTGTCTTAGCCAACCACCAAACATTTGGGGGTCATTTGCAGAAACCTGGGTGACTGAGGGCAGTGGCCTCACTGGGAAGCCCACTCACTAGGGGTGATGACTCATGAACCCTGCATCCTTGGAAGCTCCTGTGCTGGGTGAAGGCAGCTCTACTGTAGA